AAGTAGCCCACAGCCATACCAATGTTTCTACCAACTTCTTAATGTGCATTTGGGTTTTACTTTTAGATACAAGCAGAACTGCAGCTTGGCCTTGGACAGGTATCACTGTGGCAATGTGGAACTGAGACAAAGGTGAATTAATGAATGAGTCTAAGGAAAGACTTCAAATTTAAAAAGTTGGGATAAGTATTTAAAAATCTAGTTCTTTGTAAAAAAATTAATTCTTCATAAAACTTTTGTGATTGAAAAAGAGAAAACCGGCAATTTGTCTGAAGATATTTTGATGTTCACATTTTTATACCAAAAAAAATTTAAAAAATTCCACAGGTGTGTTCCATAAATGGATAAATCAAGCACTTAACCAATTGTTTGTTTTGAAGCACTTTGGATAATTTTCAACAGCTGTTTCTCTCCTCTGATGGTTCTCAAACACCAAATTCCAATGCTTAAAAACCTTTACCTTTGAACCAGAGTAAACAATTGTTTCAGCTCCCAGTCTCTGGATTTGATATTGATTCTGTTTAAAACAGATTTCAGAGAAAAGCTTTGGGTAAGAGAACAATTGGTGGTAAGGAAACTGAAATGCCCTTTGTGCTGTGCTGCTCGTGGTTTGCACAGGGAGCAAATGGAGGAAGAGACACCTGTTCATGTACCTGATATTTGCTACACCACCAACAAAAATAAACAAACTGTGTGCAGAGATCTTCCTTTTATTGCAAGAAAAATCATCAAGATGTAAAAATATTAGATGAGCTATTTATTCTTAGTTAGATATTACTTGCTGGACTGCACCATGATGTAAGGGCAAGGTGTGTGCAGATGTCCAGAGGAGAGAGAAAGAGGGAAAATGCTCCTTTTTGTACAGTATATGTCCAGCTCACAAATGTCAAGGTAGCCCCAGTGGTGACAAGAAAGAGAACTTTTTACATTTAGTAACATTTATTTCTGCATTCGGTATCAAGTACATAAGTGCAAATATTCAGAGTCCATAATTAAGTCCATTAGGAACTACAGAGAATGTAATACAAATTGTAATAAATTGAACATGCTGGAACTTTCCAGTTACCATACATGTAAATCAGCCTGTCAATCCTTTACGACAAAAGTACTGGGTTTTTGTTTTCTTTTTTTTCTTTTTATTTTTTGAGTTATACAAAACTGATTACCATAAGTACCGATTACTGTTTATTTTATTTGTGCTGGAAAACACTAAAACATCAGTCTACAATTCTATATAGTTAATAAAGATGAATCCAACCAGCAACCCAGTGACGTAGAAGCAATTTTAACTATTGCATCAAGTGCGCTAAGCAGGAAAGCCCCTAGCCACATGTAACATTAAAAGTTATAGAAGCAATGCCAATAGAAGAAGGAAAAACACTAAAAAAAAAACCAAAATTAAATAAAGAGGTCAATATTATTTAGGCTCTCACCATCATGCACTTTATAAGCAACACAAAAAACCACATCTAGTACACTTTTCTCTTTACTATACTTTAGTGCTTGACACAAGTGATTGCAAATATTCTAAGTGCAGAAGCAGCAGGGGAAAAGCACTGCTTCCAAATTTCATGTTTCTAAGATTATGGTGTCGAGAAAAAAAAAAAAAAAGAATGATAAATTTGCAGTAAAGTGTAAGAACAGAGCTGTTTTCACTCCAGATTTCCCCATTATGTACTACTGTAGCCAATGAATTCTTGATGTCTGCTTTACTCTGCCTTTCTCTTAGCACCTGGGATTTTAGCTTGAATCCTAAAAAATAAAGAAGAAAAAGAAAAAGGGTTATATGTTGAGGCAGTTATTCCATTCCAGTGGTTCCCCATTTGTACTCTTATCCAGGGATAATCTCTAGTCCACGCTCAGCATGTTGTCTCAACAAGTGAATTAAGGTACCACGAGTAGCAGAAGTGATGCCCATCTAGGTGTTCTTACAGGCCTGGTTTTTGGTAGTTCATGTAATCTTGGGATATGTTCAGTGATATTCTCCCCCCAGCATTACTTCTTCATGGTCTACTGTCTATAGAAAGTCAGGAATGAAGTCTAAAAATAGAATTTTCAGAACAAAATTTCACCCAGGTCTTCTGCCTGTTTCATAGGGGCTTGAAACACTGAAGATCATGGTGCTTCCAGGTATGTTCTTTCTGTAAAAGGGTGGTATCCTAATTGTTCATTACTGCTAGTAACTCCCTGAATGCAAAAAACCAGGCTTGGAGCGAGCAGCGGGGAAGAGAACTCATTCATTGCTGTTTGTCCTGGCTGGGTACCAGTGTGGACACCAGCCCATGAGTGGGCTGCTCTGTCCACAATTCCCCCAAATGGCAGGAGAGGGCCTGAGTTTCCCCAGGGTTCTGCCCTCCCTCAACCTCTCACAGTCCAGGATCTGGGGAGGACAGCACTGACAGGACACGGTGTCCCCAGGAGCACCCAGGCCCCAGCCACCCCCAAGGGCACGTCGGCCGCTGAACTCACTTTGCCACCACCGTGTTTATGTGGGTCCGCACCAGCCCCAAGTATTGATCAATCTGTGCCTGCAAAGAGCAAGAGGGGACCAGGTCAAAGAGGCAACAACCAGGCACAGCCACCCAGCCACCCCAAATGCAGTCAGACCTACCTGGTACTTGTCATATACAACGGGGAGAGTAAACATAGACACCACAGCTGAGGAGAAAAAGAGCACAGTGTTACTTTCCTGCAGATCAGATTCCTCCAGAGGAGAGACCTACTTCAGTGGCAAACACGTTATGGTGCCACTTGGTCAGCTGATCCACCAGGGAGCTTTGTATTAAAAATGCACTTTGCTCAAGCCTCCCAAATATGGAATTCCCCATTGCTCTGGGACTGGGAGCTGCAAAGCAGCTCTAGTAGGAGGGACAGCATGATAGAACAGTGAATATTTGGGATGAGAAATAAACGTTGATGGTTTAACTGAGGAGAAGGCATGTCAGGGATAGGCTGTTTTGTCTGAGCTGAAATCCGAAGGAAGTTCAAGTTAAAAATAGATTTTTAAAAGAAATGTTGATTTTTACCCATTATCAGAAGAGTCAGGCCATTGAAGAGGGCTCCCACGTAAGTCAGCAGCCACATTAGTACTGCAAACTAAATTAGAGATGGATCATTACATCACCTACAGTGCCAGCATAAGAAGAAAGTAGTTTGCTTAACTAGCTAAGATAGCAGCACATTAGCCTTTTTAATGTGGAAGGGAGAAATTAAAGCACATTAGGAATGAGATAGTTTTTCTAGATGTATAAACCCCATTCTCTGTTCTGCTCCTTGCCCTCTTAGCTCAGTTCTCACATCTATTTAGGGCTTAAATTGCATCCATATAGGACTCTGCACTGAGAATGGCATAGGCAGATTTCTGCATCCAATTTTTATGATGGCAGAGGTCATCCCAGAGGTTAAACAGAGCCTTGAAGTGATAATCTCAGGCATCTCTGATAGCATTTGAGGCTGGGAGAGGGGTATATTTTCCTAAAATTCTTTACTAATTTAGGAGTATAACCTATGCCTGCTCTCTTAATGATCTTCCCTTTGCTCTAAAGGACACCTGCTTGAGTGTAAGGCTAAAAATCAATAGTTATTTCAGCAGGGAGTGAAAGAAGATCTTCCATTGCAGGAAATGCCACCAGAGGAAATCCAGATTAACAGAGGGGAACATTATTTCATAGCAAAGCAATAGAAAGCATAATGCTGGGATGATTCTAGAACTGAGGTGGAGCTAAGCTGGTACTGCAAATTTATACATTTTGTATTATCTATCAATACATTCAGATGCCAAACCTCTAAAGTGCTGGGAACAGTTTTAAATCAAAAAAGCAGAGCAGCTTTCATATTTGAAGCTACACAAAATTAGGTTTCATGACAGCCCTGTCAACATGGGAAGCAGCTCTTTGAAATGTAGATTGATCCTCTAGAGAGGGGTTAAAATTACTTAAAGCAATCCTACTTTTAAAGAATCCACGAGGTCCTGAACGAGAAAGAGTCTCCTCAGCTCTTTGACTGTGCTGTTGACGTATAGCTGGAGACAATCTGTGTATTTCTGGATCTGGTCCTGTGAAAGATTCATCTCCATCTCCAAGTAGGCTCTGCCAGAAACACAGGTCCCATTACAAAGCTGGGAAGTTTCCCCTGCTGTTCATGCTCGTTCCCATCCAACCCACCATTCCCTCCTTCCCAGATCTCATTTCTTTGTGCTGGAGCAGCCTGCTCCCCTCCCTGCAGGCACAGGGCCACCAGCACACCCTCTTCACCCTGCATGACCCATCTTGCTGGGTGATGCTGAGCTGGGGCTGTTCTCCTCCAGCCTCACCCTCTTCCCACACAGAGCCTGGTCTTGATGGATTTATCTCTTTTTTTCACCCAGAGGGGGATACAAATCTGACCTGGGAGTTTTCCCCAGAAATTTCTATGCTGTTCTCTGAGCTATGCCCTCCCATCCTGAGTCGCTGCTCAGAACTGACCCAAGTGAAGCAGAAGGAGAAGCACCCCAACAAGATCATTTTTTAGTGTGTGTGTTTGCAAGCCTCACCAGTTCCATGACCTGGTTTACCAACTGGTTGGTGCAGCAGAGGAGAAAGTTCTGTGGAGCAAACCCCCCTGACCCTGTGGAGAGTGGGAGGGTACATTGGCAGTGGCACCATCACTTTGATATTGGATTTCTGGAGAAAAGGCATAGATAGATTCCTTCTATGCCCAATAGATTGTGCTCAGAAACAATGCTCTTTTTGCTTTCAGGTATGCTGTATTATCGCTAGCTCTAAAGAAACTCATTTTCTCTGTTTGCTTAAATTTTCCTCTATCTTTTTGAGAAGAAAAACCCCGTGTCTAAGAAGATGACGATTTGTGTGGTGTGTTGTTTTCCTTTCTCTCTCCAGGATCTAAGCCGATAGAACCTTACAACTCTTGAGACGCTGTGAAAATATCATTATTTCCCTCTTTACGAGCAAGAAGAGAATTTCATCCGGCACAAAAAGAGATGGGCATCACCATGAAGCCACTCACTTGAAGGGGTGGCCCTCGTCCGTCTTCTGCACGGCCTGTAGGACCGATTTGTAGATTCTGAAGCTGATGGTGGCCGAGAGGCCTGCCAGGGCCAGGTAGGCCACGACGCTGACGACGCTGAACTGGGTCAGGGAGAAGAGCAGCAACAGGAGGCTGCCAAACACGATCCCTGTCTGCTTGATGTCACGCCAGTACAACAGGTCGATAGCTGGGGGGAGAAGACCAAATTGTTAAAGAGCTGGAAAGGCAGCGGCGCTGGCCGCGGCGGGCACTGCGCGAGGCCTGGCAGCAGCCATGTCTCTGCTCACAGCAGCATCAACAGGAGCTCCCCAGCAGGAGCAGGGAAGGGACTGGAGCGACACGCTGAGGAAATTGCAACCGATGACCTACTTGAAATCCTTGTTTTCCTTGTGCCTGTGCCTGGGTTGGATAAGATGGATGAATATCTCCAACCGCAGCGCGGTGGGTGGGTCCCTTGCAGCAGCAAGGCAAGGGCAAGCTGGGGTTGCTTGTTGTGTTGTTGCTAGGGCTGTTTGGAAGATTTCAACCTACCTTGCTTGTACTGAATCCAAAAATTCCAATTTTTCATTTGTTTGGGTTTTTTTTCCCCCACAAGTTCAAATGCTGAATGCTTGATCAAAGCGTTTTCCAGTTTTGGTTGTTGATAAATGAATGAGAAAGTTTGGGGCTAGCCACGATAAACCACTTTCCCATTCAAAGTTTTGACAATTTAATTTTGTCATTTCATAAGTTTTGAGAAAGGAAAAGACTCCTGGTTTTACCACTGCTTAATAGTTCCATGACTAGGAAACCATTTTTCAGATAAGGCCTTCAAGTACAGAATAAATCTCTCTTGCTACTCAACCCAACTGTCTCAGAAATACTAAAAAAAAAAAATAAAAAAAGCGCCTTTTGCTTGTTATATAACTTTCCCTGTCCATGGGAGGTGCTGGTTAGAACAAAAAAAAGTGCATAAACCCATTTTCAACTAGTGCATTTTTACATTTGTAAAGCAAGTAACTTTTACAGTGTTTTCCCACCCACTTTGCATATTTTACTTCAACCTCTCCAGAAAAAATTTTCACATCAGAGACAGTCACTAAAATAACACAATGTTATAAAAGGATTGTGGAATATCCAGTCCACAAAGGTGAATTTAATCTGTTTACACCCACAACCTGTTTCTGAGAGGACTCTTCATCCAGCCAGAGACTATGCTCATAACAACCTAAACAAAACAGCTTTAATTTCACACACTGCACAAGTCCTCAAGAACAGTTTGAACACACCACCAGCCAAACAGATTTGAGAGATGCCACTTGTCAAATCATTCTGAGCAAAGAGTAAATTCAGGAAAACTGCAATCTGTCAAGGAAAAAAAAAAAGTGATTGATACTAAAAGAAACAAAATTAATCCAGCATCTTAGTCCTTATCATCTAATCTCTAAAAATTGTGAGTCATCACTGCATGTTTGCCTTGAGTCAATGAGTTATATTACTCATTACTATTACACATATTAGCCTTGCTTTACAGTGATGGGCTTGAATGCAAAAATTGCTGTTATATTACTGAGCTCTCCTCTCTTCATGCATCATTCACATCCAATTATATTCTCCATCAATATACACTATATAAAAACCTTTTACTATTTTCAAGTGTTCAGCACTGGATGAACACACATGACTGGATCCTATGAGCTGCATGGAAACCACAGGACAAGGGACTTTGGTGCCTGTTTAGGGATCCTGGGTGCTGACTCCATGAAACAGGGATTTTATAGATACATGCCCATGCCTGATTCCTGCAGAATCCCCTGGGCAGGGGGTATGGAACGCTCCAAAATGCAGTTCCAGCGTGGTCAGAGCACCTGGATGAGGAGGTTTAGCAGCAGGCACAGCTGTATTGCAGGACACAGCTGGAACTCCACAGATTGCTCATGGTGATGAGGTGCTGGAGCACGCAGCTCCATCCTTGCAAACCATCCTTTCAAAATGGCATCCAGAACACAAGCGTGCAGGTTTGGCCATTTTTCATTTATTCAGTAAAGGTACTTCAGAATCTTGCAGCACAACAACTGGGTGCTGTCACCAGGGAGCATTTGGTGTCATTTGGACATATATTTTCTATGAGGGTGGTGAGGTCCTGGCACAGGACCAGAGAAGCTGTGGCTGCCCCACCTGAAAGTGTTCTAGACCAGGATGGATGGGGCTTGGAACAAGTGGAAAATATCCCTGCCCATTGCAGGAGGGATGGGATGAGATGATTTTTAAGATTCCTTCCAACCCAACCCATTCTGAAATTCTGTGATTATTCACAACCTGATACTTTTTGTGATCAAAAATTACTCTGTCAGAGGACAGCACTGGAAATTTATGGAAATTTGACTTTGAGATATTTAAGTTTTCTATCACACAAAACCTCAACATTAAATTAAATACGCACAGGTAAGCTGGTGTATGTGGTACATCATCGGCTGATGGCAGAAAAAGGACATGTGCCAGGGGAAAACATTCCCTGGGACACAGGCAGTAGAGAAGCAAACAAATGAGAACTGAGCCAAAGAATACAAAACGAACTCCAACAGAGTTCCCTGAGTCAATCCAAATTAATTTTAAGATCCAAAATGACCAACTAAGCCTTTTTCTTCCTATGATCTTCAAACTGCAGAGTGGCAGTGGGCTGCATTCTCATGCAGAGAGATGCCAAACTGCATTTCCTCATTCCCATTAAAAGGGAAGATGCTGAGTTACTCAGGACAGACTTGACCAGGTATGTGTATATCCTGAAAGTCATCTGTTCCTGCCATGGAATGACTGGGATATTTACTCAGCTGTATCAGGTAAGGAAAGGATCAGAGTGAGATGGACAGAGGCCAAGTGACACAGTTCTGAGAACAAGTGCATGCACCAGGGAGGAGATGAAAAAGCATCTGGTTTCTTTCTCCAGCCAAAGGAGACCTGGGAGAGAGGGATCCTGTGTCTTTTAGGCCTGAGGCAAATATTCCAATGTGCATGAAAAAAAAAGTGCCAACTGCTAGTTGGAAAATCTCTTCATAGAAAAGAGAGATATGAGTTCAATGATTTTTAAATGGCCCTCCCAGTGCCCAGGTCCAGCCTGGGAGCACATTTCCCTCACCCATGGCCTGCCAGGTCTGTCAGGATTCTCAAGGGCAGGAAGAACATCTGCCTTCTCCTCATCTCCCTTGAAGGGACAGCACTGCTACCCTGTCCAGCTGTTTGAGTGGGATTTGATGCTCCTGTAGCCATTCCTCCTCCTCTCCCTTAAGGAGAAGGGGCTGATCCAAACCTCTTTGAAAAAGATGATACAGGAGGGAGGTGAACCCCACAGCTCCTTGGGCAGGGAAGGGGAAGAAGGAGAATCCAGAACTAGAAATCAGTGGAGATTTGGGAAGACTTTGGCTGACAGGCCTCAGGGATTTGAGCTGTATCAGTTCCCCTGGAATTTATATGCTGCTAAAAACACCTGAGCTATGCCAGTCAGAGCCATTTTTCTCTTTCAATTGCAGCTTCAGTCACTTCAAAGGCATTTTACATTATTGGAATGGAGAGAATAGAATAGAATAGAATAGAATAGAATAGAATAGAATAGAATAGAATAGAATAGAATAGAATAGAATATAGAAAATAACATACTATTTCAGCTGGGAGGCATTTACAACCATCACCTACTCTAACAGCCTGACCAATCTGGGGCTGATGAAAAGCTAAAGCATGTTTTTGAGGGCATTTTCCAAATAATTCTGAAACACAGGTTTGGGGCATTGACCCTTTCTCTAGAAGCCAGTTCCAGTTTGGCCACCCTCTGGGCAAAGAAATGCTTCCTTGCTGAGACAGTAGTCAAACATATTTTTCTCCTACGTTTCCTTACCTAAACAAATATCTCTTAAAATCAGGGAGAGGTGCTCTGGGTGCAGAATGCCCCAGCTGGGATTCTTTGCCTGGCTTCCTCAGAGTGCCATTTTCTCCTGTAACCATTTACATCAGAGCCAAAGCACCTGTCACCTCAGTGTCTGGTGCTGTAAATAGAGACCAAGGGGAAAACAAATGAGAAATTTTCTCATTGCCCATCAGGTGAAACCAGACTTTTGCATCAACCCTCCTCACACCCCTTCTTTTTTTTTCTAAACTGGAGCTAAAATTAAAGATGAGTGTGTCCACCACATTTATATGTCTGCTTTGAGTTTTCTCTCAGCCTTTATTCATGTAAAACTGATTAAGATACCAAACAACTCGTCCCAAACACTCTGACCCCATGGTGACCCAACAGGTCACTAAGCATAACCAGTGCCTTTGCTGAAGGGCAGCTCCCTGTTCCTGCCTGTACCCCTGGCTTGGCATACTGAAGAGACAACCAGGCAGGCTCAGAGGAGCCTCCCCAGCACATGGAGACGCAGTGGGGATGAGGATGACAGGGCCAGGAGCCGAGCTGGAAGCCCAGCTTTCACACACCCCCTCCTCTGCAGAGCCACTCGCCAGCACGCGACAGCCCCACGCTTGGCCAGGCTGAGACAGCTTCCAGCTCTAAGGTGGGTACAGCATTCCCCAGATAAACTAAAGCACAGAGGATACCTCACAGCATGAATTAACCACACAATAACTGAGTGCTTTGGTCAATCAGAAGGGAAAGAATCAAAGGTCCTAGCATGGTGCAGTGTCCTGCAAGTTTACTGGGAAGGGGTGTGTGCGCGCAGGGTGCTGCCCAGACCCCACCACAATGGCACAATTCTGAGCAATGCACACTGAATATTCATGAGGCAGGAGGCTGTTGCCACGTGAGGCTGTTGATGTGTGATGTGCATGCAGTTGGACAGGGGCTCAGTCTGTTTGGCTAAGCAAGATCCACTTCCGAGAGCCAAAACGCCAACTTCGAACCACCCAGTTTGCAGCGAGGATTTGCAAAAGGGGTTTGGGCACTGAAATCAGCCTTGGCTTCACTTGAGGGTCAGGCTCCTTCTGTTTTGAAAATCACTACTGTAAAATGCTGCCCATGCCCATTAACATGCAGAAGCTGTTCTGCTGTAGCTTTCCATGGTCTCCCTTTAGCCTTCTGGAAGGAGGGAAGCAACATCTCTCACTTTGCACTCTTAACAGTATAACTCATCAGAGGTCTGAATCATTTGTGGAGGTATAAAAGGACTCTGGGTTTTGCCAGAACTGCCTTAGACTCAAAACTATTTGCATTTATTA